TGCTGGACTTTTCCCTGGCACCCTTCTTACAACCTGTCATTTCCCCTTCACTTTCTATGAGAAAGAAATTCCTTCCATAGAGTCTGGGGCCCTTGGCCCAGGTAGCAGATTTTCTCAAGAGGGTCTGATAACACAAGGAGAGCGAGCCATGAAGAAAGACCCAAGATTCAGGTAAGGGTGGGAACTGCAACCTCCCCAGCACACACTGGGGAACTACAAAGAAGGAATGAGGATGCAAATAAAATTGCACTAAATTGCCAACATTTCAAGTTTTCCAGCTGCGACCATGGTGGCCAAAGCTATCATGGCCCAGTTAAATTCACTGAGTGTTTCTGGCTTCTGTCTCTTCAAAGCCAGAGGAAGGAGTAAAAGGGAAGACTTGGAGGCCTACTATCTCTAAGACATTGTAAAGACAAGAAACGGATAAGAATGGTCACCAGGAAGGAGGCAAAACTGGAGATCTGGAGAACAGAAATGGAATAAAGACTTCATTTTTCTAGATTCTCAATTTTCACTTAATTTTCAGGTTTTTTCAAATCATAGATTAAAAATTAAACACTTTAAATCAAATGATTTCAAAAGTACAAAATTATATAGGAAAAAAATTCACATTGCTGTAGAAAATAAAACAATGGCCAATGAACAGAGAAAATACTATCGACATGGCTCATCACTAAATAAATGCAAATTCAAGGTAGCAACAATAACATGAGTTGGAGTGAGCTTCACAGGAACATCCCAATTACTCCTCAGTGATTTCTCAAAGAACTTGGAATGGCTGTTTGAACCAGGAATCTCATTGCTGGGCATAAATCCAAAAGAAAATGAGCTGTTTTACCAAAACGACACACTCTTGTGTGTTCATCACAGCCGTATCACAACGGCAAATATGCGGAATCAACCGAGGTGCACATCAGCGGTAAACTGGATAATGAAAAGGCGTGGTTCATGTACGCCATGGAATACTGGGCAGCCATGAAACAGAATTAAGTCATGTTCTGTGCAGCAACATGGATACAGCCAGACGTCACTGTCCTAAGCAACTTAACGTAGAAACAGAAAACCAAATGCCATATGTTCTCACTTATAAGTGAGTGCTAAACGCTGCGTACTCACGAACCTAAAAATGCAACAATAGAAACTGGGGAAGACAAGCTTTGGGGAAAGAATTGAAAAACTCCCTATTGGGCACTGTGCTCACTACCTGGGTGATGAATCCGTCATACCGCAAACCTTAGCATCATGCAATATACCCATGTAACAAACCTGCACATGTACCCCCGAATTTAAAATAAAAGCTGAAATTATTTTCTAAAATTTTCCTCCCCAGCCTTCTCTTCTGACAGCTGACATGGGGCGTGCCAGGGCTCTGACACTGAGGGGTGAGCCAGGTCGGCTATATTCTCAGCGTGCCAGAAAGACTATTTTAAGAGTTCCTTTTATTTTTAATTGTCCGAAGAGTTAATCTGTCAGTCTAAACTTCTTTTCCACATGTAATTTCATAGCAAAACCAATACATATATATTTCCTGAAGGTGGGGAGGAAAAGAGAATGTGAATTTTCTCTTTTAAAAAGCAAGAGTCAGGGGTTATTGCATTTCAGAGGTTATCATATGAATTCACAGGCTTCGGCTCAGGAGTTCTTTTTCCTTCTCTCCACTTTACAACTTGGAAAGGTAATTTACGTCCTTCTTAAAATTCCACTCATGTTTCCTGCACAGGACTGTGAGCAGAAGAGGCCTCCAGACACCTCACACACAACAAGCAGGACCATATTACTTTGATGACAGTTCTTACATATGAACTATTGCTTAGAGCAAGGGAGATTCTAGAAGGCTCCAAGGCTTCACGAGGAATGCATGCATCTGTCTATCAGCTTTCAGGCCGAGGGGGAGTAAACAAGAGAAACAGATCCATTAATAAGACAAAAACATCAAGAATAGACAGGCACCCACAGAAATTATAGTCTCTGAAGGGGCAGTAGCAATCAAATTGCTCAGATGAGAAGAAACGGATATGTTTCTGTGGATAACACTGAGAGCATTTTCACATTAATTTCCTTCTGTTTGCATACTTAATCCTTAAGGTGTGTAAAAGGTTAAACGGAGTCAATCCTTGGAGAATAAAGAACACTTGAAAATGGAACTCACTGAGGCGGGCGGATGACGAGGTCAAAACATCGAGACCATCCTGGCCAACATGGTGAAACCCCGTCTCTACTAAAGATACGAAAAATTGGCTGCCATCTCTATCTGCTTCTGTTTCCCAAGGACATTTTAAACACAAACACACACACACACGCACACATTATATATATATATATATTTATATATATATAATTATCTATTATGTATAATTGAATTGATTATAGTTATGAATAAATATAAATTAATTTTAATGTATAGATACGTAATTTAGTGTGTGTATATATAATAAAAAACCACATATGGAGTGTTTGCCACATCAGGAACTGTGTGACTGCTTTGAGCCATTGCTTTGTTGAATTCTAACAAAAGTAACCAGTGAGGCAGAAGTTACGGTAATTTTGATTTGCTAGGTAAAAATATTACATCTCAGGGAAGCTAAGAAACTCACCTCAGCCCCTGAACCAGACGCAGGGGCTCTGATGCAGACCCACTGTGGTGCCTGCCTCTGAACTGCGTTTCTGGGGAGTGTCTGCCCTACCTCAGGTCCTGCACTGCAACGTGGGAATACACTTACAAGCATGTAAATAAACCTACAGTTACTATTACCACTCTTGTGATGCTGTGGTCAAGAGCAACGGGAGGCAAGGTTGAATTCAAGACGGTGCTTTTCTGTAATAAATTCATAAACTTGAGTGTGACCTGCAGTTTCTACCACGCTTGGATTTTATTTAAGTTTTGTTTGACTAATTGGCTAAAAAAAATACCTTGTGGCCGGGCACCGTGGCTCACACCTATAATCTCAGCATTTTGGGAGGCCAAGGCGGGTGGATAATGAGGTCAAGAGATCGAGACCATCCTGGTCAACGTGGTGAAACCCCATCTCTAATAAAAATACAAAAATCAGCTGGACATGGTGGCGTGTGTCTATAGTCCCAGCTATTCAGGAGGCCGAGGCAGGAGAATTGCTTGAACGCGGGAGGCGGAGGTTGCAGTGAGCCGAGGTCGCGCCACTGTACTCCAGCCTGGCGCCTGGTGATAGACTGAGACTCTGTCTCAAAAAAAAGAAAATGGAGCTTAGAGAGCCATCTTCTGAGCTGGTAGGCCAGTCTTGGCACTCTGTCCTCCCAGCACCGCGGAGGCAGCCTGGGAAACGTCCATCTGCAGTCGTTCTGGGCAAGAGGGGAGTGAGGTCCCTTGGAAGCAAACAGAAGCTTCCTAGTTATCTTTCTACCACCAACCCTTCAGTACCAGTACAGTTTTCTTCCTTCTATTCTTTTTGGATTTGCTGGTACGACAGTCAGATTTCTCTCACAGATGTTGGCCAGAAAATTTCCTGGTCTCTCAATGACGGGAAGAGATGCTGACCTCACTTCTTTCCCAAAAAGACATTGGCCAAGGAGGTTAAATTACAATCGCCAGAAATGATTTTTTAAACTGAAAATAGATTGTCTAATTTTCCCACCCAAAGCCTTGCCTTAGTCACCCCTAGAGCTAAGCTTACTGGGGGTAATGAGTTTGTAACAGTTTTTTGTTTGTTTGTTTGTTTTTTGTTTTGTTTTGTTTTTTCAGACGGAGCCTTGCTGTGTCCCCAGGCTGGAGTGCAGTGGCACAATCCCGACTTACTGCAACTTCCGCCCCCTGGGTTCAAGCTATTCTGCCTCAGCCTCCCGAGTAGCTGGGACCAGAGGCCTGTGCCACCACGCCCGGCTAATTTTTGTATTTTTACTAGAGATGGTGTTTCACCATGTTGGCCAGGATGGTCTTCATATCTTGACCTCGTGATCCGCCCGCCTCGGCCTGCCAAAGTGCTGGGATTACAGGCGTGAGCCAGACATCGATTTTCTTAATGAGCCTTTGTGCAGTCTTGTGGGGCAAGGTGAGGGGGTAAACTCAAAGTAAAAAGGACAGGATTGAGTAATTAGACCTGAAAAGACGGGACTCCTTTGAGTGTAGGAAGGGAGACGGTCTGCTGTTGCATACTTTATCTTCAACATGTCTCATCCCTTCTTAAAACAAGGTATCCATTTGAAATGTACTAATTTTTTGGGGGGGGTATTGTCCCCATGAACTTTTTGTAAATCACCAATGCTTTCATCATTCTTTGACCCAAACTTCACCATAAACGTAATTTTTTATTTGCTTCAGTTTTAACAGACTTCATGTTGCTTGGATAGGGGCTCTTTTCAAACTGACGCCTTAATAACCTTTTGCTAGATGTTGTTCAGGCATTAGTATGAGTTTATTTTGTTGCAAAAATTTTTTGAAATTCATACATGGTTGTTTTTTAGAGTACTCATTTTCCATGAGCTTTCCGAAGATGCCTTGTCTGTGTATGTGTATCACATTTTCTTTATCTGTTCATCCACTGATAGACACTTAGCTTGATTCCACATTATGAGTGTTGTGAACAGCGCTTCAATAAACATGTGAATGCAGATAGGTCTTCAACATACAGATTTAATTTTCTTTGAATGTACACCCAGTAGTGGGATTGGCGGATCATGCGGTAGTTGTATTTTTAATTTTTGAGCAACCTCCATACTGTTTTCTATAATGGTTGCACCAATTTATATGCTCACCAACAGTGTGCAAGGGGTCCCTTTACTGCACATTCTTGTTAATACTTGTTACTGTCCCTCTTTTTCATAATAGTCATTCTAACAGATGGGAGGGGATATCCCATTGTGGGTTAAATTTGAATTTCTCTGATAATTAGTGACATTGAGCATTTTTAAATATACCTCTTGGCTATGTGTATGTCTTCTTTTGAGAAATGTCTATTCATAGGCTTTTCTCATTTTTAATCTGGTTATTTTCTTACTATTGAGTAGTTTCACATTTTATATATGTTGGGTATTAGCCCCTTGTCAGTTGTATGGTTTGTAAATGTTTTCTTCCATTCTGGAGGTTGTCTCTTCACTATGTTGATTTTTATTGGTTGTGCAGAAGCTTCTTAGTGTGGTTTAACCAACTTTGTTTTCTATTGTTATCTCTGATTTTTGGTTCACAGCCAAAATACCATTGCCCAGACCCATGTCATGGAGCTTTTTCCTATGTTTTCGTCAAGTAGTTTTATAGTTTCAGGCTTTACTTTTAAGTCTTTAGTCTGTTTTAGTTGATTTTTAGATATGGTGTGAGATAAGTTTAATTTCATTCTTCTGCATGTGGACATCCAGTTTTACTAACACCATTTATTGAAGAGACTGTCCCTTCCACATGTGTGTTCTTGACACCTTAGTCCAAATCAACTGACACCAAATGTATAACTTTATTTCTCAGCTGTTTATTCAGTCTCATTGGTTTATGCGACTGTTTTTAATGTCATTACAATGTTGTTTGGATTACTAAAAGTATGTAATTTATTTTGAAATCAGGCCTCTGGCTTGATTCTTCTTGCCCAAGATCGCCTAGTTCATTTGTATCTTTTGTGATTTCATATGAATTTTAGAACTGTCTTTTCCATTTGATAAATCTTAAGCATAATTGTTAAAAATTTTCATGGAACATAGAGTTTCCTTTTGATAAAAAAATAGAATAAGTAAAATTATAATGACATTTATAGATCATTGACTGATTCCTTTTGTTCTTATTGTTTGCGTAAACCTTGAAAAATAAGAAATTGAAAAGAACATTTTTTATTTAGACATGGTTTATTTAAAGCCTATTTCTGATTTTGCTGATTTGGTAGGTGCTGGCTGTGGTTAATGGACGTCATAAGGAGATGTCCTTAGGTATTTTGCAGTTCTTTCCAGCAAGACAAAGAAAGTAACATGATTTAAAAAATGAGGATAAGTGTAACAAAGTATCTGAGGAAAGCAACCTGAATTTTTTATGTTATCTATTTCCCATAAATGACGTATGAAACACTGTTGATCATTCACCTCCAGTGAGCCAACCTTGTAGCAGAAACAGGAGCGTGGGAGCTGTCTGTGCATGAAAACCTTTCTCTCATTTACTATCTGCAGGAAACAAAGTAGAAGAGCATCACAGCTCCTCCAGTGAGAAAGCTGAGCCCACTGACAAAATCACTGCTGCAGCCTTTGCTGACTGTGGCTTCTCATCTCATCACACTGGGAGATGAATTACTTGAACATTTGGGAGAATGACAGCAACTTGAAATTCACATGTTAGCCAGTATGTTATACCTATTAACAAACACAAGTTTAGAACTGATTTGACTATTTTGTGTTTTTTTTGCTCTTAAAAAAACTTTTGAACAGTTGGCTTGTGTAGGAATGAATGGTAAGAAAGAGAGAAGAATACTTGTTAGCAAATTTTCCTCCAGTGGATACACATGTACCAGACTCACTACAGCAAACTCAGTGGTCTCTGAAGGATAAGACACAGGGAAAGAATTTTGTTGTACAATGAGATGAGTTATTTGGACTTAAGACATGTTTCTTTGCATAAGTTTTCATGAACTACGTATCACATGTCCCGTAAGGGGAAATAGATATGTTTTCTTTGCTCTGCTCAGCACGGATTTGAGCCGTTTTTCCAACTCCAGGGAGATCAGCCACATGTTCACCTTTGAAATCACAGCGAGCCTCCTCTACACCTTTTGCAGCTGTAGTCAGTGCCAGTGACCTCAGCCTCTGTGGGCTTTCTGCACCTGCACATATGCATTGCAGTGTTTTGTATCGTTTGTTAGATACTGGAATTGTACCCTGGGCTGTACAGCATCAAGTTGCATTTAAATCAGAGATCTGGCATATCTCACTCATCACAGCAGATCTGTGTCAGCTGAATCTTATAAAGCGTGTCTTATCTTCCAGAGCATAAATCAGCACGAGGACTGTGAACCTGCTATGGGTTCTTCTCCCTCCCTGTGGAAAGGAACACAGTCCAGGAATGCCTTCAAACAGACAAACCATCCTCTTCATATCATTTGTTGTTTTCATTTTATTTCCAATTCAAAGATAGCTGAAAGCCACAGACAATAGCAGAATCCCTGTGGGGCTGGCGGTCCTGGAGGAAGACTGGGGAGACGGGTGGAGTGGCTGTCAAGGCAACATTTAGAGCTCCTGCTCTCTTCTGATTGTTTGAGAACTCAGAAAAGGATGGCTGGGGTCGCTTAGGTGTAGCTAAGAGGGCTTTAGAGTCTTGGGAAAATGAGAACTCTGAGGAGCTTGCACATCCATCACTAAGCTGGGACTAAGGGTGTTTGGTCAGGGAGGGGTCACTGCTTGTTTGAGATGGACAACCATGGCTGTGACCCATTGACTGACCCCTGAGGAGACTGCAGAGCTCCTGGAAACAACCCAGAAGCGGCTTCATCCACAACAAGCAGGAAGTTTCTAAAAGGTGCGGACATATTCAGAGACAAAGCTGGCTCTAGCCTGAATTACAAAGACATTGAGCTTGTAGGGGCCACAGTATAAGGTAGGCAGGAGCAGAGTCAGATGGCTCTGATCCCACAGATTATTCTCCAGGGTTCACTGCATTTCCTCTCCACAAACAGCAAGCTCTAGGGAACATTTTTTTTTTGAGATAGAGTCTGACTCCGTCACCAGGCACCAGGTTGGAGTGCAGTGGCACAACCTCAGCTCACTGCAACCTCCGCCTCCCAGGTTCAAACAATTCTCCTGCCTCGGCCTCCCGAGTAGCTGGGACTATAGGCACGCACCACCCTACCCAGCTAACTTTTTTGTACTTTTAGTAGAGACGGAGTTTCACCATGTTGGCCAGGATGGTCTTGATCTCTTGACCTCGTGATCTGCCGGCCTCGGCCTCCCAAAGTGCTGGGATTACAGGCGTGAGCCATGGAGCCCAGCCCATTTTTAAAGATTAAAGCAAAAGACCTTGTTGATGTTATAGTTTTTTTTTTTTTTGAAGAAAGAAACTTGACATATTATTATACATAACGTAATATTTATAGTTATATATAATATATAATTATAATGCTTACAATATAATTATATATTATAATGTGACATATTAGATATTATAAAATCAAGAGAGTATGTGATCACACACTAATACATGGAACAGAAGACAGTAAAAAGAGTGTGGAAAGAGGGAGTCAGTATGAATGAAGTGCTGTTCACTTAGGGATGGGACGATCAGCGTGATTCACTGCCTTCTGTTCCCCAGCCCCGGCCTCTGTCCTGTGCCCTAGAATGGGCACCAATATATTTCAATTAAACATGTTAAATGTGGTGAGATTTGGACTGAATCTTGGAGATTAAATTTTATCCAAGAAAAAGTAGCATCATTAGAAGTCTATGAAAAAAAAAATAGAATGTTTCTCTAAAATCTGGCAAAGCGTAAGAGCTCAAGGGGATCAGGAGGTAATTTTGTCTAACACGTTCATTGACAAATAAAGAAACCAAGACCCAGAAAGGGGAAGAGCTCACCGATGCTTCACGGCCTTCGAGGGTTGGCACTGGGTTCAAGCTCAGCCAGTGTTGTTTTCACATCAGAGACAATCTCTTATTTTCACCAGACAGGCCTTTGAGTCGCGCATGAAGGAATCCTCGAAGACCACTTCAGAGCCCCGATGACCGCAGTGGAGAGAATCAAGAGAAGTTCATTCAAGGAGAGTCAAGAAACTCATTCAAGGCTGGGGATGAAGCAAGAGCTGGGCCATGCAGGGACTCGCAGGCACATTGAGGGGTTTACACTCATCCTAACAGAGGCAGAAGACCACCACAGAGTGCTGAGGATGGCGAACGCGTGAGGATGATTTGGAAGAGGTCAGTCTGGTTCTGCTCTGGAGAATGGCTGAAAGGCTAGCGGGAACGAACGGAAGGAGCCCCCATGGAGGTCATCGCAGGTGCAGGTGGGATGCAGAGGGGAGTGGGCGCAGGCTTGGAGAACAGGGATGCGTGGGTGTGAAAGGCAGTCAGGTGGGAAAGCGAAGTCAACATGAGTGGCTTCTCCAGAATGTAAGCTCTTTCCCCTTCTCCAAATCACCCAGGGCGAGGGCCAGACTCTTGGCCACAGCGTAAAAGGCCCAAGAGAATCACACCCAGGCTCCTACTCCACACCACCCCATGCCCCCCACACACCTCCATAAAACTTGATTCTCCTCCTACCTGGAGCTCTTCTACCCATCTTCTACCTTGGCCCAAATAAGTTCAGTTTACCTTTCAGATCTCAAGATCGATGCTATCAATCCTGGAAAGTCTTCCTCGATGCTCCCATGCTATGTATTCTTTCTCTATCTCCACGGAGGCACTGCTCTGCATTATAACTGCCTGCTCACCCACCCGACCCTCCCCCGGACTGTGAATTTTGTACCCCATTCAGTGCCTAGCATTCAGTAAATACGTGCTTATTATTTATACTGTCTTATTTCACACCGGTAGATTAGCAAACGTACAATCAATTCATTTTGGATAGGAGCCTTTCTCAAATTGATTACACATTTCCTCCTTACACAGAGTAAGCTGAGCATAGTGTAACCTTAAATGCAAGGTCATCATTATGAATGCTGTCACATTTAAAGAATATCAGAAACCCTGGGTCATTAGATAGTCTAACCCAGGCATACTTTAGATGGGTAAATTGAGTCCCAGAGAGGTGGAGGGATCATGGTGTGTGGTGGTAAATCTATGATTTGAATCTTAGCATCCTGACTTCTACTCCAGCCCTGGAGACAGCTGCATCTGTGGGGCCATGGTCAAATTCTCTGGAAATTTAAGATGCCTAAACTCTTTGCTCTAGCACCACAGGGTTCCAACTGTTGTATTTTATTTAGTTCTTGTGCCTGTTTTCATAGCTCTTCTGCCTCTTCCCGTATTATCAACTCACTTCTTAATCCTTCAGTATATTCAAATGGAAGAGGCTGGGCGCGGTGGCTCACGCCTATAACCCCAGCACTTTGGGAGGCTGAGGCGGGTGGATCATGAGGTCTAGAGATCGAGACCATCCTGGTCAACATGGTGACACCCCGTCTCTACTAAAAATACAAAAATTAGCTGGGCGTGCTGGCCCACGCCTGTAGTCCCAGCTACTTGGGAGGCTGAGGCAGGAGAATTGCTTGAACCCGGGAGGCGGAGGTTGTGGTGAGCCGAGATCGCGACATTGCACTCCAATCTGGGTAACAAGAGCGAAACTCCGTCTCAAAAAAAAAAAAATCGAACAAACCCTATTTGTTTTGTTTTTGAGGGACAAGATCTCATTACGCCACTCAGGCTGGAGTGTAGCAGCACACTCTTGACTCACTGCAACCTTGAACTCCTGGCCTTAAGTGATCTTTCAGCCTCAGCGTCCAAGGAGCTGGAACCACAGATGCAACATACCACCAGGCCTAGCTAATTTTTATTTTTGTATTTTTTTAAAATATAGAGACAGGGTTTCACCATGTTGCCCATGCTGCTCTTAAAGCCCTGGCCTCAAGTGATCCTCCCACTTTGGCCAGCTAAAGTGTTGAGATGAGAGGCTTGAATCACCGCGCCTGGCCTCGATCTTTATTTGTATGTATTTGGGATGCAGATAACACTTTTAGCTCCCCAAAGCACCACAGTGCTTATGATTATCTATGAACATTGATGCTTCACTACCCATTCTCCTCCACTAAGCTAAAATTCCAGGGTCATTTTATTATCCTCTCTGTCCCTGGTGTCTAGCGCGGGGTCCCGCATATTCACCTGTGCTGAAGAATTCTCTAGTTTCTTAAGTATCATATAAAATAACCATTATTAGCTTTAGAAAAGATTATAAGCTCCACTTCACAGGTATAGTGATGCCTGCTTTCTTAGACTTCTCTTCTGATTTCTGGATGTGATTTATGGAGTTGATGCACTAGGCATGCTGTATTTAGCCATATTTAGCCTATGTACTAGGCATGATGTATTTAGACGAAGTAAGGAATGACTGGCATTTGTGGAGGGACTGTGTCCTCTTCTGCAGTAATCAGAGGTTGTTGAGACATCCATAGTCTTTGAGACTGTCTTCCCCACAGCTCTGTCTTTGTAGACAGTTGCAGTAGGAGAAGCTGAAGGAATTTTACAAAGTAGACATTGAAGCCTCCTGGTGATTGCCCCTTCGGGGTTTTGCAGCAGGCATTGGCTATTTGCTTGGGCCAGAGTGAAGCGCCTCAACTTTTCTGGAGAACTGCTCCTTCCCAGCTGCAATAAGGAGGCTCGAGGCAGAGCGGTGACATTCATTTGTGAAATGTACTTGCTGCTTTGGTGTCCATTTTTAGTCCTAATGAAAGTTATTGGAAACCCGGTTGTCCCATGTGTCACTTTGGCCTAATTAAAACTTCCCCTCCCCGTGTGGTTGTTTGCAACATAGCCCACTTGTTCCTCATCCCACTGACCCAAAATCCAACACACCCACAGCTGATGACCATGAGAAATCCAATGATCAACACCAGAGTTATGGAAATGAGCTTCCCTTCATGCATGTTTTCTTTAAAGGAGTCGACTGGCAGCCTCCCTGCAGGAGAGCCTGGAAAACGCCTAGTACCTTAACAAAGGCAGAGTCCCACAGGCCTCAGGCCAATCTCTCCTCTTTTGTCTGAGCTTCCTGCCTCCTCCAGACCACGTGCTGCCCTCTCAGCAACATCCCTAACCTCTTTGGGACTTATAAGTAATAAATTTCTGTCTCAGGCTTGTTAGTTTCACCTCCTGTGTGTCTCACCTGACGGATGCACCCAGACCCAGCCTGGTCAGAGCGCTGCTGGAGATGGCTCTCCTGGCTTATGGTCACTCTTAAGATGGTAAGACCTAAAAAACAAACAGGAAACCCTAAGGATACACATCGCAACAGCAGTGTCACACCACGTGGCTAAAGGCAATGGGTTTGTGGTGAACATGTAACTTAAGCCTTGTCAATTAAGTTTTTTCCTGGAACTGTTGGAAACAAAGCCATGGAAAGAGATTCAGTTCTTGCAAGGTAAGGCGGGCATCTAGGTTTCCTGTCGCGAAAGCAAAAACGAACAACTTAAAACAACAAAGTCGAGATGCAGAGAGAAGTAGAGATGAGAGGGCATGCTGACGGCGCTCAAGTCAGGGGAAAGGGGTCCAGCACCATCACTGCCCTCCTTAGAATCTGACTGTGGCAGCTCCAAGTCACAGGAATGCCACTCTGCCGCACCTGGCACCTGCAACCAGAGGATTCCTAAGTGCAGAAAACACAGGAGATTTAGAGAAGCCCGTGGAGAACAGACCTCTGATGTATAATTAGAGAAAAGCTATTGGTTTGGAGCTCATTTCTCATCTGGGAAATCTGTTGCCATGAACCAAAACCTAAATGAGCTTTGGGGAGTGATTTTATGGGTGAAATCCCAGAGTCTGAAACAAGAAAGGGAGCAATCCCCTCCCCCGCTGCCCTATTTAAAGCCCCCTGTGTCACAGCTCTCAGGCTAAGCTTCCGTGCTGAAACATTACACCATTCCAGAGATCAAAGCCGCCTCTAGAGAGGCGTCTCAGACCAGCAAAGGAAGTATTTCCTAAAAAGCACAGCTTCCCACTAGGGACTGCTTTGCAAGGAGCTACGCTTCCTGCAGTGTGTGGGGAGGACTCCAGGAGAGTTGTCGGGAGCAGGGGGAATCATAGAGGAAATGCAAGACAGTTTTAGCGATTCGCTTTGCTAGTTCTGTTCACTTCCGAGAGTCTGTGATCCTTGGCTTCAGTCACAAGGGTCTTGAAAGTCAGCTGGGCAAATTCTAAACAAATGTCAAAACCACTATCTGTGAGGTAGTTGGTGATTTCGCTAAGTTGCTCTTAGCGAAGCCTCCATCCTGTTTTCCTGAAGGTACAGTTGGCCCCATCCTTCCTTCCCTCCTCTTTCCTGGCTAGAAGAGGCAGCCTCCTGCCTCCAGCTGCCCAGGAGAGGCTCTGCCAATATCAGCACCCCCACTGTCATCTCTGCAAATCACCTATCATCCCAGCAATCTGCCTAGCCCTACGCAATAGTCAGCCTTGCAAAGCTCAGGGTCACCAGGGAGCATGGACTAGAGCTCTGGCTGAATACCTGTCTATGTCTCGGCTCTGAAACTGCTCCTGCCCCCCGCCCCTGCCGATGTGGGGCTGTGTGCTGCTGATGTGCACAACCTCAAAAGCCATGGACGCCCCGCCTCAGTCACTAAGGCTGAGGGCAAGGGTTCCTATAATCCCAGGACAAACCCTGTAGGTACCAGTGGGATCCCATCTGCGCCTATTAACCCTTGAAGTGAAACTAAATGGAGGAAATCGGCCAGAAAAGAGATTACAGTGTGGATTCCTGAAGGCCTTCGTGTGGATCTGCAGTGTTTAGGAAGGAACACGAGACTCTAATAACATGCATCAAATGTGGATACTGATCATTCACACTAATATTATTTACATCAGTACTGCTTTTGTGATGCCAGTAATTATATCTGGAGTCTGGCTGAGCCTCTGATGTGGCAGTCTTGATAAACGAGTTGATGTTCAGTCAGAATGGCCATTATTAAAAAGCCAAAAAAAAAAAAAAGATGCTGGTAAGGTTACAGACAAAAGGGAACATTTATGTACCAATGTGGGG